GTCAGAACATTTGCCATGAAAATAATGATAGAATAACAAAATGCTTGTGATGTTTCATCTGTGGGATAGGGGTTGTAAGGTGAGGGTGGGTGGATAATCAACCACAAGGCAGTGTAGATGCTTTTGAATACTCAAGACTGGGCAGCTCCAGCCCAGAGATGGGCTTATAGACTCAAATATAAACAACCACTATTTCTCTTTTTCCAAAACAAGTAAATGTTTATAGGCTCAAATATAATGATAATAATAAAAAAAACACTGATTTTGGCATTGAATAATGCAACAATGGTTAACAATGTCATAAAACTGATTGACCCAATCTCTTTCGTGACCCAGTGAGGTTTTCACTATTAATATCCTGTGAGACTTGCAAGCTCACTGTTTTCTCATCTCAATATTGTAAAAGTTCAGCAAAAAGTTGTAAAAGTTACTCCGATTTCCTCAGTTTTAAAATTTCTTAATTTTAAAAATTAAATTTTAAAACAAACTGGTAAAATCAGAAAATTTGTGAATGCTTAACTGCTATCAGATTTGAAAGTGAAAATAGGAAGTAATTTGCATTGTAGACAGAAAAAGTTGACAAACAAGATTAGGGATCATTGAGAGCTCACTAAATAGTATAATCTATTTGCTTAATTCTAGTTGAAGATTATCTTGTTTGTAATTCATTCATGATCAAGAAAAATTAAGTTTAAATTGCATGCAGTAGTGAAAAGTTTAAAGATGAGATTTTATCTCTATGATTATATTTAAAAGTACTTTTTTTTTTTTTTTTTTTTTCTAGGTATATAATGAAACATTTTTTAGATGTTACTAATTCCATTTATTTGTGATAATGTGATCAAAACCAAAAAATTTTTGTCTGTTTGAATTTTTTTGCCTTGTTTTTTTAATAATGTGTGTGTGGTAGGATAAATATAATAATATATATATATATATATATATATATGTTTTAAATTGCACAAGCAAATGTAATTTTTTATTTTTTATTAATTCATTTTTTCTACAACTTATCAATCCCTTTACAGGTTATTTAAAGAAAAATAAATGAAACATCTGAAAGCCAATTTTAGATGTTCCATATAATGAACCCAATTCTCTCTGATTAACTTTTTATCTGTTACACTTTGGTGATAATGTGATCAAATTTAAACATGTGGCTGTAAAAAAATTGTTTGTCTGTTTGGAATATATCATCCATATGCCTTATTTTTTTTTTATAATATAGTTTTTTAAATTTTATTTATTTATTTATTTTTAATAAATATATATATATATATATATATATATATATATATATAAAAATATATATATAATATTTATATAAATGTATATTAATTTGAGTTGATACACCATTTTTTTTTTTTTTTTAAACAGTATTTATTTCAAATACCAGTCTTTTTGAGAAAAAACTTATAAAAAAAAAAAAACAATTTTTTTTTTGTATGATTAAATGATTTGGCATTTCTAACAACTTTTATTTGCCTTTTAAAAAATCCCATTCAGTTTTTCTTGAAAGGTTATTTCAATTCAAAATGAAAAAAGCAATGGCTAAAGAATATTTTTACATTTTTAGATGTTTTTTTCATAAAAAGCACTTTTTAATAACATAGCTGATTTGAAATAAGATAATGATTTAGTTATTTATATTTTATTCTTTTCGCAATCATTGGTTATTTAAAAAAAAGTATTTGGTTTTGAATAAAATTAGAAATATCTGTACGTCTTATTTCATTTTAAAAGGAAGAATGAGCCTGTCTTGGACTTCTTTCACTCGGCAGCACCAATTTTGTGAGATCAGTGCCAGTAATTATTTTTAGGTCTTTCTGAGCTAAATGTGAGGCTCTTATGGTTGTTACCTTTTTCTTCTCCAATTTTAGGTATTTATATTTCCATGTAATCCATAGATAATGAACCCAACTTTTCATGAATTGAACTTATGTTGCCAGTCAGTTAGGGCATCTGATTCCTAACTAATGTTATTAAAAATGTTGTTTTCTTATCTTTAGCAAATCAAAAGGAATAAAATAATATAAAAAGTATTAACATGAATCTTTATGAAAATAATAACCATTCTCATGTACAAATCCAAAATGAGAAATAAAGATTTTTATGGCTTAAATGTTTTAGTGCAACACCAAAAAACAAAACAAAAAAACAAACTGTATAATGTTATTAAAAAATATAGTTTGCATGTTATCATCCATCTAGGTACTGAAATATAGGTTATCCTAGATTTTTGTAACACTATGAGAAATAATGATTGGTGTGGGAACTAGTGAAAGATTTGTTTACATGATGTTGCTGTCAAGCATTTGCAAATTCATGACTCTTGAATATTTTTTAATGGCAAATTTTTTTATTACATTTATAACTGTAGGTTGCCATTTCTTTCTGCAGGTGATCATGTATTTTCATCCATGAAAGCTATGGAACCCAGTCTGTCCTGGAACTCAGTTTTTACTCATAGCTGGATGGTGAAGAGGATTTATACCTTTCCCAAGGGTATTAGCTTGTAAGTGAATGTAATGGATTTGACTGGAATTTGAACTTGGCTCTCAGATTCCTCAAGCCAAGCCGCTATCCCTTACTCCACCATGTCTTCTGTAGTACAGCATTATAATGTGAATTGTGTCAACTAGAAATATTTACAGCAGTAGTTACCATATGGAGGCAGTTGTTAGCCTACCACGATCCATGCTGCAAGCATACTAGCCTACTTACTAGTGCCAAAACACCACAGGTTTTAAGGTTAGCTTTTTGTAACTGTTGTATTAGACAACTCCCTATTTTGGGGGATAATTTTTAGGATTTAAAGGTCGATTTATATGGGGGAGTATATGGTAAATCTTTATGCAAGGGCTTTTCTAGCTTTAGGATGGAAATCTGTCAAATTATATATGCTTGCCTTGTGTATTTTTTATACAATATATGTATGTGTACCATTTTTAATAGAATACACACACACACACACACACACACATATTGTATAAAAAAAATGCAGATTAAAAATATTGACTTTTTTATATTTAATGAAAGAAATACATGTTTCTTTTTATTAAATATATGTGTGTATTTTTCATATATTATATACATAGGTATATGATTTTTTGCATTAATTGAGAGATCTGTATATTTTAAGCAAAAGAATTTACTTAAAAAGAAATCTGTGCCATGTCCTGTCAAGATGTGGACAATTGTGGCTCTCTACAACTTCCTGTTCTTTGTAGCCCTTAGTATGTCTTTTTGCTATATTGCCTAATACCTGTTCTGATAACCATTTACACAAACTCTTTAGGTAGGTTATTCACTGCTTTCCTCTGTCTCTCTTGCATTCAAAATATCCTGTGTTAAATTTTCCAATATCGCATATTTTAATTATTCCTTTATTACATTTTGTTCATTAGTAAGAAAAAATGTTTTAATGTTGAATATAAAAAAAGTATCTGCTGAGGTTTTTATTTGGTCTTTACAAAAAATAAAAACTTTTTGTCCTTTTTATGTTCCTGTCAGTATACACCATTTCTTCTTAACAATGAGAAATAAGGAAATTCTTCTTATTAATAAGAACAATATGAATAAAATGTCAGATTTTAAAAGGTGTGTCTGAAAGTATCTATTGGAAGTTAATTTGATTAGCAAACAAAAAATGTACATAATTTCATTGATAAATGAAAATTTGTTTAAATCGGAGAGCCAAGTTCCAATTCCTGTCAGGTTTGTTATATTCTCTTAAGTGCAAATACCTTTGGGGAAAGTTCTGAAACCACTTCATCTTCCCCCAAGCTATGGGTTAATTAGTATGATTTGTATCTGTAAATCAATGTTATCTTCCCAAAAAATTCTAAAAATATTTTCCAGTTTTAAATAACCCATAAAAGAACAATCAATCTCTTAAAATTAAATTTGTACATTTTTTGCAATCATAACAGCACTGTCATTCTTGGTGAAAAACTCATGTTTATCTTTTGGTACTGAGAATACTTAAATTTTCACACACATATGCATATATATATTAATTCCTTATTATTTTAAACACTATATTTAAAGGAGATTTTTATTTTTTGAATAGGGTAAATTTACATCTACTGTCTATATATATTCAAGAGCTTTAATAAAACAAGTTTTGAACCTGGGTCCTCCTTTGTAGAAGAAACAACTATTTAATCCAGTATGCTTTACCACTTGACTACAAAGAACATCACAGTTCAGTGAGGCTCTGATTTCCATTTTAATATATACATACACATACACACAGTCTGTCTGTGGATGACATCATATATATATATATATATATATGTCTATATATATATATATATATATATATATATATATATATATATATATATAATCTCATCCACAGACTGTTTCACTGTATCACCGTTACACCAATGTGGCTAGACATCTGATTGCCTCAAGCCCGAATCGAAACCTGACTGATTTGGCATCAGTTGGGGAATTTACCCGTGAGCTACCAGTGCTGAGGAAGGTGAATTTTTATGTACTCGAATAAACATGCCAATGATTGAGAGAGCCACACACACACTTTAATTCTTTGATATTCTTTCTGAAACAAGGGAAAAATTACTGACATTTTTATGCATATAAACTGAAAAAGTGTTTTTTTTATAAAACAACTATGCTATATTTGTAAATGTTATGTATGATATATTGCTAGCTTTGTTAGTACTTTCTAAAGCTTTGCTTTGCTTCAGATTTAGATGACCAACAAAAATGTTTTGAACCTTCAATGACCAGAGATGACCAACAGAAGTCTTTGGAACCTTTCCTTTAATGTGCAGTTCAAATAATTTTGTAAATGCTTTGAAAATTGATTTGTTTTAATGTATATCATATTTAGGGTCAATTTTAATGTTTATGAATTAAAATGTATCCGTTTTGTATGTTCATAATCTTATGGTTCTGTGTCTTTTCACTAACTTACCAAATTGTATGAATTATATATAGTTAAAAATAGTATTTTTCTTTTTGTTTTGCAGATTGTGGGAAAAGGTGCCTTTGGAGTTGTTCGTCGGGCGATGTACCATGGCCACAGTGTAGCAGTAAAATTGATTGAGACAGAAACTGAAAAGAAAGCCTTTATTACTGAATTGAAACAACTGTCAAGAGTTTCACATCCAAATATTGTTAAGCTATATGGAGCCTGTACAAAACACCCTGTAAGTTGAACAGTAATTTTGGAAATTTTCTGCATTAACTATATTTTCTGCTTTTTTTTTTTTTTTTTTTTTTATTTTCTATAGCTTGTCTAGTGTTAGTTATGAGGGGCATTCAAAAAGTTTCTGGAAAAAGCATGTTAAAATAAAATTATGCAAATATTTTGCTATTTGTTTGCAGCAAAGTAAAATTGGACTTGTGTGTTATAATCTGCATAAACTGGAAGTATTTTGAGGTAGTAGATTGAAGTTTGCTTTAGTTTAATCCTCCCCTTCTCCTTCAGAATCATACCAAAAGTGAAGAAAGAACTATCATTAAATTTGTTGGAAAACTTGATTTGAAAACTGAGGACATTATTATTGCTTTCAGAAAAGTGAATGGAGGTTCATTTGTGGGGGGGGTATATCAATTTACAAATGGATAACTCATTTCAAAGAAGAATGTGAATTGATGACTGGATAGGCATAACTACCAGCATCAGTTTCTGAGGAAAAAAAATTAATGCTCTTCAAAATTTAATTGAGGCTGGCCTACAATTAACAGCAGAAATAAGCACTCATTCCATAGATATCTTGGTTCAGCCTACAAAATGTTATCTGAAAAATGAAAACAAGCTTTTTACACATTGGGTATTGAAACTGTTGTGTCCAGATCAGTAACCAACAAGAGCAGAACTTTCAATGGAAATTTTAAACAAATGTGATCAAAATTGTGAAAGCTTTCTGAAGCAAATTTTAAATGAAAATGAAACTTGGCTTTACCATTATGATGCTGAAGACAAAGCTCAGTCAAAATGATGGTTACCCAAAGGTAGAAAGAGTTTCATCAAAACAAATGCAGACTAGTCAGGAGAAAGGATAATAGTTTTCTAGGATGCAGAAAGGATTTTTTGTCTATATTTCTGAGATAAGGTATCATAACAATTTACACTATTTACATTTTCAAACTGTTGTCCTCATCTTTATTACTATACTAGCAGTAGAGCCCGGCATTGTCCGGGGATGTAACAGTAAGAGATAGATCAAGTATCGACCATCATAAAGACTGAAAAATAAAATTGACAAAGATTATTGTTTAAGGTTGACGGACATGCATGTCTTAATTAGTGTTTTTTTTTTTTTTTTTTTTTTTTTTTTTATTACGAATTGGTCAAACCCAAACTCAAACAAAAATATTGTTTTCAATTGTTATGGATCTACTAATTGAATAAAATTTTATTATAAACAATTGTCTTGTAAATGGAATTTTTAAAGCATTCTGTATGTAAAATAAAGAAGTGTGCAAGACAATAAGAAACACTACCTGCCCCCCCCAAATGTTAAGTTTTGTTGAAATCGGTTGAAAAATGTAGGAAATCCAATCCCATATATAAATGAACACACACACACACACACACACACACACACACACACAAACAAAACAACCTGGGTTTTATAATAAGTATAACTCGATATGAGTTGTCTCCCTTTCATTCTCGTGATGCCTCTTAATCGTGTTTTCAAATTGATTTTGTGCAAAAAGAATTGTGTTTTTCCAATATTTGGTGCTGTTAGAACCACTGCAAGGTAATTTTACGTAGTCCTGTGAAGTTTTGTTGAAAAATGTAGGAAATCTGATCCAATATATAAACGTACACAGACACACACACACAATCTGCATTTTATAATAAGTAAGATTCATGACACTTTGGTTGTTGCATACTCCAGCTGTCTTAAAGTGATATATGTTAGAATTTTGAACCAAACCCTTTATTTAGTCCGGTGGGGGGAGGGGGGAGATTGTTCTAAATCCATGTGCCATGCCTTTTCATGGATCTTGTTTTTAGTTAATTCTCTTTGGTAAGATAACTCTCCAAGTTTTTGTTCCCTCTGCTGTGGCCAGGGATTGAACTCACAACTCTTTGGATCAAGTCACTTTTTGGATTACTAAACAAATGCTTTTATCCTCTGTGCCATGTTCAATACTTGGTCACAGTAGAGGGAACAAAATCTTGGAGAGTTGACTGAAAGGTGTCTAAAGGAAATTAACTGAAATTGAGATATCTAAAAAAGGCCCTGGCATATGGAATCAGAACAATCTACCTCCTGGACTATATAAAGAGTTTAGTTTCAAAGTTCAACTGTATGTCACCTGAAGAAGGCCGGAGCATACAATGGCCAAAACATTGTGAATATGGGAATAAAGATGGGGACAATAGTCCAAATGATGTAAATAGAGGGGATTTTCTCTGTTGACATTTTGGAGGGTAAAAAGTTAGTACTGCTTATTACAAAAGGGTTTTGAGAAAATTAGCTAAGTTTAGCATAAAAGTGACACAGAATGATTGATTACAGGATTTTTTTTTTTTCCACCATGACAATGCCCTGGGCAAATTTTCTCATCACACAAGGAGAACATTACAAAAACTTTAATGGGTGATCATTAGGGTATACAGAATCCTGATTTAACACAATATTTTCCTAACTATACAAATTATTTTTGAAAGGTACTCATTTTGAGACTATTAGTGGCATAATAAAAGGGGTGCTTTGATAACTATTTAATTCTCAGTCCTTTTGGGTTTGTGTAAATGGTTGGTATCATTTTCCAGTTAACGTGGCATGAACTTTTCTGGAGAAAAAATGAACTATTTGAACTTTAGCATTGCGACTTGCACGTTCCAATATTATATAACTGTTAATAAATAACACATTCTTAAAAAAACATCTTTCGGTCCAGAACACATTTATTTCATCTTTGAGATTTGATTTTAAAGGAAAAAATTACAGCCTGATGATGAAAACATGAAGTTTTTAAAAGTACTAGCTGCTCTAAAAAATACACCAGATCCATCTGACAACAATTTTATACATAAGGATCGCATCATTCAGTGGATTGTTGGTAGGTTAATGCTTATATTAAGTCTGTTAGTGAAGAGAATTCGCCATTAATTGCATTAATATTGCTAAGTGATTCAATGTATGATTATTTCTTTATAATATAAAATTTATGCTGCCTTTTTATATATATATATATATATATATATATATATATATATATATATATATATATATTTATTGGATAGATGTGAGTTTGTGACCCTGGGTTTCACGCTTTTGAAAAGATATAATATATAAATAATTATATATATATATATATATTTTTTTATATTTATATACATTTCATATTATATTTATATATATATATATATATATATATATATATATATATATATATATATATAAAATAATAAAATATATATATATACTGTAATAAAAAAACAATGTACATGCAAAACATTGTATTGATTATACAAACATATCAATCAATACTTATTGTATACCTACTCTTTATAAAGTGGTCTGCTGATCCCTATGCAGTTTTAATGTTAATTTGTATGCCCACATTTATATATTCTGTCAAGTGTCTTTGTATTTTTTTTTTTTTTAATGTAATCTCTCTTGCACTGTGAAAACATAACTAATTCCTCCCAAATGCTCTGATTTCTGACAGTATATATATATATATATATATATATATATAAAAAACTTGGTACTAAACAATTTTTGGACTTTTTTTTATGTTAGCTCAGAATTAAATTTGTGAGCTATCTATGCAAGTTAACCTATCTGTTATATCTATTTTGGTAGGATTATGATCACCTATATTACAGAAGCATTTTCACTCATGAATATATAGTTCCTGTTTATTTCCATGAAAACTGAGCACAGTAAAATATCCATGTCATGTTTGTTCTGTCTGCCTGCTCCATCTGGGAAGAGTCAAAACAAGTGGTGAAAATGTAAATTAATCTTTATTGTAAACAAGCTATAAATTGATTCAAACAAATACAGAAATTTAAATCTCAGAAGTGTTTTAACAGATGATGGAAAATGTGATGTCAAAGGCCAATGGTGCATTCTGTCCTGGGTATGATGATAAACTACATCCAGCCTCTGATCGGGAGGTTGTGAGGATCACGGAACCACCTCTTAATTGCTGTTGTGCCCAGGTTCACCCTGTTAGGGTCACAGCTATGGACAAATAGTTAACCCCCAAACTGAGGTCAAAACATGAAAATATAAAATTACATTAGAAAAAATTACCAGCTATACAGTTTCATAGTAAAAAAAAATAAAATTACCAGCAATACATTATTGGATAAAAAAGAAAAAAGAAAAAAACAAAATTACTAAAACTCACCAGAAAATAAAATTTCAGCATTAAATAATCCATACAGATTTGAAATGCAATTAAACAAACCAAACCAATGGTGCATTGAAATAGAAGATGCTTACCAAAGTACTAAAAGTATCAAGAAACAGGAAATTTTCAATAGAAACAAGGATAAGAGTGCTGAATTGCTATGTAATATCAATCCTCTTATATGGCAATGAATGTTGGGCAATTTCTTTACAGATGAAAAGAAGACTTGATGCAGAAGAGATAGGGTTCTGCAGAAGGATGCTGAGAATATATGTTGCATGTAAGCAACAAGGAAGTTTTGAGGAAAATGGCAACAAAAAAGACAATTGTATATAAAATCAAAAAATACAGTTGAAATTTCTAAAACACGTAATGAGAAAAAAAGGCCTGGAAAATTTGACACTCACAGTATATATTAAAGGCAAGAGGGCAGAAGAAAGAAATGAGTAACCTACCTAATGAGCTTGTGCAAATGGATGGCAGAACAAGGGCAGGTAGTGATAGTAAAAACATTGTTAATAGCTTTGAAAGATAGAAAATTGTGGAGAGCCATGATTGCCCATATCCAGTATGGACATAGCATATAGAAAAAAAAAAAGAAACTAGCAATGTTAAAAGTTGCATACATCCTGGTATAATTAACATTTCCTCTTTATTTTAAATTAGTTCTTTAATCTCTTTTGATTGATCCATTTTCTACAGTTTATCAACCTTTTGTGGGTTATTTAAAGCCGTTTTTAGATTGTAAGATTTTTTTTTTTTTTTCATGTAAGTCAGGGGTCGGCAACTCATTTGACCCCGCGGGCCGGATCATGTTATAATGACGGGTTGTGGGCCGGATGAAGGCCATTAATGAAAAATTAAGGAAAATTACATATGCAGACCCCTGTCAACCTAAATATTTAAAACCATAGTGAAAATAAACATTGAGAAATCAGAAAAACAAAAGAAAATCTAAAATTAAAAAACACCTAACAAAAATTACTTTTTCTCAAGGAACGTCAAAATACTTCAAAGTGAAAAAAAGTAACTGAAGTAAAATGGATGAAATTATGACGTGTAGGTTTGAAACTGTTATTGAAAAGTGTTCCACAAACAAACCACACACACACATCAAACAAAAACGAAGCACATATACCCATACATACGAGTGCAAATAGTTGCAAACATATACACTTATGTATGTACACATGCGGTATCATCCACACATTCATGAGGCATGTATGTATAATGTGCGTATGTTTAACTGTCTTTAGATTTCTGCTACATCGCATGTCAGTCCCTCCCTGGCGTCTTTCACTTTATCGTTCCTTTCGCTTCTGTTATTTTTTAATGTAGCCAGGGGTCATAACAAATATGTATCCATTATTTGACATTAAACGTAGAAAATGCAACGTGGTAAAATAAGTCTTGTGAAAGATAACTGGCAGATAGTCTAATATTTTTAGTGCACTGAGATGTGTAGACATTCTATGGAAAATGACATGTAACAAATTTCATTTGAAGGCCGTCTCTCATGTTAAAAATAGTCATTGGTAATCAGGCTTGCGGGCCGGTCAAAATGCCTTCGCTGGCCGGATCCGGCCGAACCTTGATGTAAGTAATTATAATGAACCCAGTAGGAACTGGGTGTATATATATATATATATATATATGGGTATTTGCATGTAAGTGAACTTGGCTGTCCAATTAAGTTGTGAGTCATTGTCTATTACACCACCCACACATCCAAGCTTATAGCACCTGATATTCTGCCAAGTGGTCACCTATCTAGTTACTGACCAGGCTCAATGTTGCTTAACTTTGGTTATCATATGGGAACCGGTGTTTCAATGTGATGTAGCTGTAAGCTTTAATCATTTATAAAATCTTTCTAAAATTTGGTTTCTATATCTAATAGTTGGTATTTACTAAACTTAGTATAGTCTGGCACAAGAATATATTGTGGAGCACCTAATTAAAACTAAGAGAATGAGTCTGCATTTTCAGTTTGTTTACTATTACTCTGTTAAATCACCTTTAATAGTTAGTATGTAAAAAAAAAAAATATATTAATTTAATTTCTTTACAGAATATAATTTGCAATTGGTTGAACTATTCATAGCCTGACTATAAAACTTAATTATTTCACATATTCATGACAATTGACACATCATTTTGCAAATATTTTTTAAGACTCTTCTTTTAAGATTCTGATGTTTGGTCATTGAAATATTCATTTGGAGAAGTGGGTCAGGCTGAGAAATTTTCAGCACCACTCTTTTACTTGTTTACATATTTTATAAATATAATAATATAATAGTATATAAAATTTTTAGCACTCACTTTTACATAATATATAAAGTAAGAAAAAATATCCAGTGTTCATCTGATTAACATGATTTACATTCTGCCTTGTCAACCTAGATTTTATTGAAATAAAATCAATTTTTATGATGATACTATTTGATTAGTGAAACATTTCAAAATAAAGTTTTCAAAATTGACTTGTATACTTATCATTTTACACACACACACACACACACACACACACATATATATAGGCATGGCGGATTAGTGGATAGCAGATCGGATTGAGGAATTGGAGAGCTGAGTTTGAATTCCAGTCAAATCCATTACATTCACTTGCTTGCTAATACCCTTGGGAAAGATATTAATCCTCTTTTTCTCCCTCTAGCTATGGCTAAATAGCAGGACAAACTAGGTTCTATAGCCTTGGATGACAACTCTGAATTCAAAACCTGCAGAGGGTTCTTTGGGTAACTTGTGGCTTGTTGTGCACCAGGTCTCTGATTTTGGTTCTGCACAAAGCCTTCACCAATATAATCAAATCATATTATGTGCAGGTGTCTGGCTGTCAGTTCCTAGGAACTGAGCTGCTTGATTCTCATACGTATAATATGATGGGAGAGTCCACCATATCTATATATATATATATATATATATATATATATATGATTAATGTGAGTAAAAGATGATTGATGTTATCTTCAGCATTCTGACTCTAGAGTTTAGTAGATGGACCTGTCCATCCACTCTTCAGGGAATATCAGCAATTTACTGCTTATATTTTTTCATTTTTTTTCTTTTATTCATATTTAACACTGTTTATGTGTGTGGTCATGCTTGTGTCTCTGTGGATGTGCGTCTGCTTGTTGTGTGCTCATTTGCACAAATGCAGGTACGTGTAGAAAGTCATGATCATTTTGTTCTTGTGTGTGTATATATATATATATATATATATATATATATATATATATATATATAAAAAGAACTAGGAAATTCGTTTTTTTGAAAGACTTATAAAATAAGTCTTAAAAAATTTGTTGATATCAGATTTTGAGTGGCATTAACTGTGATTTTCCCATTATATAGATCGGTCTTGATATATTCTGTAACGACGGAAAACTTAGTTTTATGAAATTTTTTTTGTTTACTGACTCATTTGCATCATAATAAAACATTTTTTTTTCTTTTTTTTTATGTATGAGATTTGTGAAGCTTGACTTAGTTTACATTTTTATTTATTTATTGTCAATAGTTGAAATGATGTTTTATTGACAGTAAATATCACTAAGTGTTTAATCCATTAAAAATAGTAATCTGTTGGTTGTTAGCAAAAAGGACAGCCCAACATGCAAATTACAAATTGCTGATACCAAAATCAAAAAGTGCAACACTGAAATCTGAAGGTGCACCGAGATAGTGAAAGATGCCTTCTAAAAGCTAGAGAAAGTATTAAGAAATAGAAGTTATTTTGAGAAACAAACAAGAGTACTGAACTGTTATGTAATATCAATTGTCTTATATGGCAGTGAATACAGGACCATCTCATAGATGAAGAAACTTGACATAACAGAAATGTGGTTCTACAAAAGAATGCTGAGCATATCATGGTCCAAATGTGGACAATGCTGGAGTTGTAAAGAAAATGGAAACAAAGAATCCTTATATTTAACATCAGAAAGACCTAGTTTAAATTTCTAGGACACATACTGATAGAAAAGAGCTCGGAGAGTTTGATAGAACAATGCATAACCTACATAGCGAGGTTGAATAAGTGGGTGGCAGAACAAGGTTTAGGAGAGATAAAAGACAAAATTTATTAAGAGCTACAAAGGACAGAAAATTGTGAGAGCTATGATCATCAATTCCTGAAGGAGCATGACACAGAAGAATTTGTTTTAATTTATAAGGATATTTATAGAAGTATATTTCAATAAATCGATTATTTTGAAAACTTAATGAAATACTTTCATCCTAAATTTTAGTAACTTTTTGAAAAGGAGTATTTACTCTTTTTGACTTTATCAATTTCACTAATACTCAACATTATTCTGATGATAGAAAAATTAAAATTAACTCCTTTTTAATTCAATAAGTCTATTGTTCATCCATGCATTGAATATTGCTGTCACATATGGTCTGGTGCTTCTACTATGTATTTAGAGATTTTTCACAAAATCCAAAGAATCTGCAATGTTATAGGTTCTGACCTGGCATCTTGGCTTTAATCACTTTCCCATCACTATAATGTAGCTTCCTTGTGCCTTTTCTATAAATATTTTCATGATGATTGTTCTGATGAGCTTTCCTTTGTTACTGTGACTTTATGAAATAAGATTGGATTGGCAGTTAGGTTTCTCATTATTTTACAGTTGAAATTGATAGACATAGCAGTTTCTTCTCTCATACTGCCTGCATGTGAAACTCTTCAGGCTACTTGCTTTCCAATCAACTTGGCATTTAAATTTTTGAAGATCAGTGTCAATTGTTATCTTCTGTCTCCTTAATTCATGTTCTTTTATACTGAATTTCCTGTTAAAAATGCAATAAAAACAGCCCTAGCTCAAGAACACCCTGTCTAATTTTAATGAAATTTGCCACTGTACTCAGCAGGGGTTCAAGTTACAATATGTTCTTAAATTAGTTGGGATATTATGTATTGTTTAAGCTGTATATCTGGAAACAAACATACATACATGTAAGATTTAAGTTTTAATATTATATAGATAGATATCATTTCATTCAATTTATGACCGTGCAAAAATATTTTTACTGTAATATTTTAGATAACCAAAAAAAAAAAAAAAATTGATTTATTTTTTACTAATGTTCATACAATAGAAGGCCCAAGAACCACTCAAGGTAGAGGGTTACTTTGTGGAGTTGTATTAGCATAAGAAAGAACAAGATGACAGGAAAGATAGCTAATTCTAGACTTGAAGAGGTCAACATTTAATTAACAAATAAAATTTCAGAGTTCAGGCAGAGACATTAGGAGTATGTAGTTGAAGTAGACTTTTGAAGGAACTGGAAACCCAATCTTAAACAGGAAACAAGGGATGAAACTTTACACCTGTTCAAAAGGCCCGGGAGGAGTGTAAATCAGATGATAGGCCAGCTTATCTACTCCTGTTGGGAAAGGAAAAAAAAATAATTACAAAATAAAATTTCAGGCACAGATGTCAGAAGTACAGAGTTGAAGGAACCAGAAACCCAATCCAAAACAGGAAACAAAGTATAAACCTTTACTACTGTTCAAAAAATTGGAGTAGTATGAACTGGAGATTTGAATTTCACTGTAGAAGAAAAACATTTGATCTTACAAAAAACAATCTACTTCCTTGTTTCTGTTGATGAGTAAATTTTTGGTGAATTAATAATTATTTAAAAAAAAAATACAATGATGTTTTGATAAAGAAGGTGGGTGGAGCAACAAGTAAGTTTATGTGTGCATTAAATATAAAAAAAACCCTTAAAAAAAAACAAATAAATTTATTTGAAACTGATTAAATCCACAAAGACAGAATAAAGATATATTTCTTATCTTCTATCAGGATGTTGGCAATCATGGCTCTTCACAATTTCCTGTCTTTTGTAGCACTTAATAAATTTTGTCTTTTTTTTGTCTCTCCTAAACTCTGTTCTGCAATGCATTTACTCAAGCTTGATAGGTAGGTTATGCATTGTTCTTTGATGTCTCTCATGCCTTCAATCTGTCCTGTGATTATCAGATTTTCCAAGCCCTCTTTCCTCACTTCCTGCTTGATTGTGGTGACATGGCACATATTCGAAAATTATTTTACAACGTGAACAACTTGAAAGAACTTTTTGAAAAATCAAACCCCTATTTGATCTTGACCTTTCTCAGGAAAGTTGGACTATATAATAAAATATAATTCCAATTTGGTGTCTGATAATGAAAGGGGGAACTTTGATACTTGCCAGGTGAGAAATTTTCAAAGAACAATGCACCTCTGAAAACAGTGAATTTTTAAAAAAATAAAAGAAAAAAAAAGTAAGACAACATCGAAAAAGAAGGAAAGGAAAAGTCTTTTTGAAAGCATTTCAACCTTATTTAAAGAAACAGAAAAAAACAAAAAACAACTGTTTGACCTTAAATGATCTCTTGCTGATCGATGGGTCGTCAAGTTTTAAACAAACAAACAAATCTCTTTCTGATTTTAAGTATAAGTGTACTTTTTGTTTCCATTTTTCTAAAACTTTGTTGTTGCTCATATGATCAGTCCATGGTATTTGTAGCATCCTTCTGTAGAACCACATTTCTGTTGCTTCAAGTCGGTTCTTCATCTGTGAAGAGATTGTCCAGCATTCACTGCCAAATAGGAGGAATGATATTATGTAACAGTCTGGTACACTTTTCTTGTTTTCTAATGAAATTTTCCTGTTAATGTTTTTTTATAGTGGAAATTTTTAAAGATTTTTTCTGGTATTATATAAGCATGAAGCAGAATGCAAGTTCACAAAAATAACACTTTAAACTTCTGTGGACATACTTGTGCCTTTACAAAACTTATGTTGCCTGCTGCA